CCGACGAAATCGTCAACCCGTCGCCAGGAATACGCGCGTACCACGCCGGAGGTTACTTAATTTCAGTCGCGACTCGAGGTGGGTTGATCCAATTATCGTGGTTCACCACGAGCATCAAGGTGACGGTTTCTATTCTCTCTGCGCCCCTTTGTCTCCTGTCAAAAGAGAGATAATTCCGGTAGTGGTACAGGTGCTCGTAATGATTCTCAAAAGAAGCAAAACCCCGATTGCTACCGAACGAAAGGGACGGGTCAACCTAGAAGATTGAAATTGACAAACTCCGACAACCGGCAAACAGATATCAATCCGTTTCAAGGTTTCAGTTAGCATCTTAATCCTCAGTCGAGCTTATTTTATATGGGAGAGATAGGGAAGGAGGGAAGACTACAGCGAACGATATGGAGATTACAACGAATAATTGAAATGCGTTTGACGTTTAAATAAAACATTAATATTATAAATTTTTTATATATTATTATTATTAGAATAAATTAAAAAAAAAAATGTATATTCAGTACAATTATGCGGTTAAATAAATTAAGAATATGTAATATTCTCTTGTTTTATTATTTACATAATTAAAAAAAAAAATAGTATTGAATATATATATGAATTTAGCATCTGTCTGTTTAATTATATACTGATACAACTATGTCGATAAAAATACAATTATTCTCCAATAATTGTCTGCAATTAAAACATTACAAGATCCAAACGTCATTTTAGAATATTTTCGATTGTTCTGTTTTATCATTTCGAATGATTGATGAAAATTTACAACGATGTCAGTTGCTGAAATCATAATAAATACGTATTGTCGTGTAAATAAATTTTATAGGTACATACACATAACACACATAAATATCTTTCTAAATAATAGACGTATGCACATATATTAAAATAAACATAATATATATCAGACAGATATATCACTCCCATGTTCAAAATATTTTTTTTTCCAAAACTACGCGACTAATAAAAATATTATTCTATGTTCTAAAGAATTATTTCTTACTACGCGATTTATTGAACACTATATGTATGACACGACATATAGTAGTAACTGATTATATTTCGCAAGACGACTACACGGGCGATGTCAGCGATGTAACGAGAAGCGTAAAAACATTAACATTCCATCCTAATGATCCTGATTTCGTCACAAGTACTATCCGAGGCATAATGCGAGTATGCGAGACAGCCTATGTAAGGGTTGGCTCACGACTCGCTCCCCGGAGTAAGGTCCTCTCTGCACCCTCTCGATCAATATTCTGTCCAGTGGCGTAGCAGACGGGTGACTATTTCTTTTCGTGTAACTACATTGCGATTTTGTTGTTTGCTTTTAGAGATGTAATTTTACAATTATTAAGGGCATAAAGCGCGAAATAGCGTTTTACTTTAAAAAATTGCCACTAGATAATAATAAGATAATAAAAACATTAATAGAAAATATATTAATTGATAATAATGAATATTAGATAGATTAGATTGTTTCTAAATGTTCTGAATAAATTTATAATAAAGTGTTTCGCCGCGAATTGTTCCGGAATTGGGGACTAAAAATTTTTCTCGACATTATATATGATTATGTATAGGTAGATTATGTATTATATTACTATTGTATACAAACACTATTAATTTGTACCATCATATAAGTATTAAAATGTCATTTTACATGTTTGTATCATATATTAATCTTTTACTCTATTTAAAGTATCTAAAAAGTTCTCCTTTAATATTTTTAATTTTAATTTACATAGGAATATTTGCAAACAGAATAAAAAAGCTTTATCAGATAAATACATGATAAAAGCGATTAAAAAATATGCCAAAAAATAGTAATATTTAAAGATATATTTTTAATATCTCTGTTAAACATTTTTAATAAAAAGAGGCTAAGAGGTTGCTGGATTTTTGGAGAATTTGTTGTATTTACATTCGACACGATTTGAGTGAGTTCCGATATTTTCGATCGAAATTACATTTGCATAAACCACAGTTGAGCAAATTTGCTGCTGCCAGTCAGGATATTTAATTGGAGAACCGTCACGCAACGCAACTGTCAATGGGAAAATTTCTCCCAATAACGCGATTAAATTTCGCGGACAATTACCATGACGCAAATTGGTGCACGACATATGGCTAAACAAGGATTCTTGATGATTACAATCCACCATATATTACCAAGCACATACACACTTTACACTTTCGCAAATGTAACGTTGTACAGTCATGATTAAAGTAATGCATTATTTTATTATTAATATAATTTGCGTAACAGCTATTAGTTAAATTACGGTGCGTGTAATGTATTTCAACGACTTTCTAAATTATCTAGCAATAATTTCTAGTCAAATAATTTTATCGTATAATAAAATTCTTGAGTATTTAAATATTATGAATAATATAATAAAAATATATAGTGTAAATAAATTTTATAGGTACATACACATAACACACATAAATATCTTTCTAAATAATAGACGTATGCACATATATTAAAATAAACATAATATATATCAGACAGATATATCACTCCCATGTTCAAAATATTTTTTTTTCCAAAACTACGCGACTAATAAAAATATTATTCTATGTTCTAAAGAATTATTTCTTACTACGCGATTTATTGAACACTATATGTATGACACGACATATAGTAGTAACTGATTATATTTCGCAAGACGACTACACGGGCGATGTCAGCGATGTAACGAGAAGCGTAAAAACATTAACATTCCATCCTAATGATCCTGATTTCGTCACAAGTACTATCCGAGGCATAATGCGAGTATGCGAGACAGCCTATGTAAGGGTTGGCTCACGACTCGCTCCCCGGAGTAAGGTCCTCTCTGCACCCTCTCGATCAATATTCTGTCCAGTGGCGTAGCAGACGGGTGACTATTTCTTTTCGTGTAACTACATTGCGATTTTGTTGTTTGCTTTTAGAGATGTAATTTTACAATTATTAAGGGCATAAAGCGCGAAATAGCGTTTTACTTTAAAAAATTGCCACTAGATAATAATAAGATAATAAAAACATTAATAGAAAATATATTAATTGATAATAATGAATATTAGATAGATTAGATTGTTTCTAAATGTTCTGAATAAATTTATAATAAAGTGTTTCGCCGCGAATTGTTCCGGAATTGGGGACTAAAAATTTTTCTCGACATTATATATGATTATGTATAGGTAGATTATGTATTATATTACTATTGTATACAAACACTATTAATTTGTACCATCATATAAGTATTAAAATGTCATTTTACATGTTTGTATCATATATTAATCTTTTACTCTATTTAAAGTATCTAAAAAGTTCTCCTTTAATATTTTTAATTTTAATTTACATAGGAATATTTGCAAACAGAATAAAAAAGCTTTATCAGATAAATACATGATAAAAGCGATTAAAAAATATGCCAAAAAATAGTAATATTTAAAGATATATTTTTAATATCTCTGTTAAACATTTTTAATAAAAAGAGGCTAAGAGGTTGCTGGATTTTTGGAGAATTTGTTGTATTTACATTCGACACGATTTGAGTGAGTTCCGATATTTTCGATCGAAATTACATTTGCATAAACCACAGTTGAGCAAATTTGCTGCTGCCAGTCAGGATATTTAATTGGAGAACCGTCACGCAACGCAACTGTCAATGGGAAAATTTCTCCCAATAACGCGATTAAATTTCGCGGACAATTACCATGACGCAAATTGGTGCACGACATATGGCTAAACAAGGATTCTTGATGATTACAATCCACCATATATTACCAAGCACATACACACTTTACACTTTCGCAAATGTAACGTTGTACAGTCATGATTAAAGTAATGCATTATTTTATTATTAATATAATTTGCGTAACAGCTATTAGTTAAATTACGGTGCGTGTAATGTATTTCAACGACTTTCTAAATTATCTAGCAATAATTTCTAGTCAAATAATTTTATCGTATAATAAAATTCTTGAGTATTTAAATATTATGAATAATATAATAAAAATATATATGTATATTTTATATATAACATAATATAATTAAAATGGTTTCGCATTTCAGGAAACATTTTTTAACGCAATTTTTTCAAGTTTTATTGTACGAGAGATTTTCAGAATGTTTTCGGAATGAGCAGCAGATGTATTTACATGAAACATACATCTCATATAATAAAAAATACAAAAATAGCAATTTGGATAAAGTTTGTTTTTGATCATGTATATTGATTTAGTATCGAGCTTTGTTATATAAGCACTTTTAAAATAATAATTATGGAATATATCAAAAATTTATATGATATTGTATGTACATTTATAAAAAATCTGCATGTGTAATAGCATATATATATATGGAGAAACATAATAAAAATTTATTATTTAAGCAATGCGCTGACAAAATCAATATCTGTCTTTGGGTTCTAGTACACGTGTTATAATGTATTTATAGTACTTGTCATAGTATACCTCTCGCTTTCTGTAGAGGGGTCATCAAAAGAGAAATACTAGTTTCGACTTTTGCTCAGATTATAAATAATAATCAATACATCTCTTTAGTAAAATTAAATATTAATGCGATTAAATATTAATATTTAAAATTTCTCGTTATATACTTCTCTGGATTTTTTTTCTCTCTTCGCTATAAAATTATTTTTATTAATAAATTGTAGTGTTTATCTCAATAAATTTTTTTTTTAGTTGGGCAATAAGAATAAACATACATACATACATACACATAGATAATTAATTATGCATTTGACTTTAAAAGTATGCATATAAATTACGAACATTTTTCATTTTTGATTTTAAAAGTATGCATATAAATTACGAACATTTTTCATTTTTCTTTTGATCTTTTCGGAAACAATTATACTCAAATATTGCAGATAGTAAATTTTATGTTGTTTTTTATGGGTAAAATTAGTTGCTTTAAAAAAATATCATGTAATATGTTAGCTATTACTAATATCTGTGTTTTCATTTTGTTACAGTATTTTTTTCATTGGATCATTCAATAAACTTGGCATTTGGATCTTCTGGATATTTCATCGCTTCCAGTCTTCCACCACTGGGTGAGTAAAAAAATTAGATGCATCATAAAATAAAGATGAGATTAGATTGGCAAAGACATTTCATATTCAACGAGAATTAAAAAAGATAACTAAAAATTAAAAATTATTTTTTTAAAATTATTTAATTCAGTATTATCGAATTTCTTTTAATTGCAATACACAAATGTTTTTGCCAAAATAATTTTCATATAATCTCCGATTTATGCAAAATGTTGCGCAACAAATTTTAATTAAAAAATAACGAAGTTTTTTTTCTAAAGAAAAGCTCTTTATTTCGTTCACGTTCAATTGTTTATAATTTAAAAATTATGGATTTGTCGATATTTTTGTTCAAAATTGTTTTTAATTGAACAATAAAAGTTAGAAATAATAACTCATAAAGTTCGAGAAATTCTATGACTCGTAAAATTGATCGATATTATTTACTGTAATACGCGCATTAATGTTTATTTCGATGTAATATTTCACGTTCATCAGGATTGATTTCGGTCCATGTCCTTTATCGGAAACTTCATTCGTGGAAGACGGTAGCGCGGTAACGACTTTATTAGGGTTATCGACGTGCGCACGTGCCTCACCCTCTGACATTTTAACTCTTGACATGTTCGTTATGGAAAGTGGGCCGCGCCAGCGACGGACGCGGCGCAGTTAATTGCTAATTATCTTACGGTTTTAATCAATCAGTCCGAACGACACATTGTGCAGTCACATGGCAGATGTTGCGCAACTGGTATAGTCCTTTTGCCGTAATCAAGTCCAGATCGTTCGTATAATTGGTCGGTTACGTGATCCCATAAATACACGCCCGCGTCGATTACTCTCGTCGCACACTTGTTACAGTATTACGTGAACTTCATTATTCCGCGTTCGTTGTAATTCAGCGGATACGAGGGTGGAATCTGTGCGCATGAGATCGGTGCGAGAAAGCAGTTCTCGTTGTTGTAGGCGTCGCGCGTCTCTCTTTCTCTCTCTCTCGGCGACGAAATTGCAACCTGACGTCCTGGAAGATATATTTCACGCCTTGTTGCGAGTAAGTGGCTTCTTCCACGCAGGATTAATGCCGTAAGGCGGGCTACGTTATGCATAGCGCATAATACTCGCTCTGCTAATTTATTTTTCACAAAATATTACTAGAGACGCGCGCGCATAAAGTAGAACATATTATTATTAAGAGAAAACAAACATGTACAAGAGGGATGTTGCAAATAAGTTGTATAAAAACATTTCTAATTATTAGATGTTTTTAAATGCTTTTGACGTTGTTTAAATTTTGCTTTCCGTGCGTATATTATGCGTAAAATACAAAAAAAAAAAAACCTTTCATTAATTATAGCAAATACTACGCAACCGTAGCCAAAATACAGTATAAAAAGTGTTTCAACGATGTCTGAAAGAGATATTTTTTAAACTTTTTACGATATTTGGATATTTATGGGTATTTATTTATTTGCTTGAAGGTGTACTTAATAAACAACACGATCGCGTTGGAGGGATGTAAAAAAGTGATGACGCTCATAAATCTGTTACTTTCTTCGGCTTATATAAAGATTCGAAAGATATACATCTAAAAATTTAAAGTACTTGATCTATATCACGTAGCACTTTTTTTATTTAAATACTTGTGTTAATTACCGATCTATGAATATTAATTAACTAATATTAATTAACTAACTAAATATAATATTAATATTAATTTTTCATTTTTCTTTTGATCTTTTCGGAAACAATTATACTCAAATATTGCAGATAGTAAATTTTATGTTGTTTTTTATGGGTAAAATTAGTTGCTTTAAAAAAATATCATGTAATATGTTAGCTATTACTAATATCTGTGTTTTCATTTTGTTACAGTATTTTTTTCATTGGATCATTCAATAAACTTGGCATTTGGATCTTCTGGATATTTCATCGCTTCCAGTCTTCCACCACTGGGTGAGTAAAAAAATTAGATGCATCATAAAATAAAGATGAGATTAGATTGGCAAAGACATTTCATATTCAACGAGAATTAAAAAAGATAACTAAAAATTAAAAATTATTTTTTTAAAATTATTTAATTCAGTATTATCGAATTTCTTTTAATTGCAATACACAAATGTTTTTGCCAAAATAATTTTCATATAATCTCCGATTTATGCAAAATGTTGCGCAACAAATTTTAATTAAAAAATAACGAAGTTTTTTTTCTAAAGAAAAGCTCTTTATTTCGTTCACGTTCAATTGTTTATAATTTAAAAATTATGGATTTGTCGATATTTTTGTTCAAAATTGTTTTTAATTGAACAATAAAAGTTAGAAATAATAACTCATAAAGTTCGAGAAATTCTATGACTCGTAAAATTGATCGATATTATTTACTGTAATACGCGCATTAATGTTTATTTCGATGTAATATTTCACGTTCATCAGGATTGATTTCGGTCCATGTCCTTTATCGGAAACTTCATTCGTGGAAGACGGTAGCGCGGTAACGACTTTATTAGGGTTATCGACGTGCGCACGTGCCTCACCCTCTGACATTTTAACTCTTGACATGTTCGTTATGGAAAGTGGGCCGCGCCAGCGACGGACGCGGCGCAGTTAATTGCTAATTATCTTACGGTTTTAATCAATCAGTCCGAACGACACATTGTGCAGTCACATGGCAGATGTTGCGCAACTGGTATAGTCCTTTTGCCGTAATCAAGTCCAGATCGTTCGTATAATTGGTCGGTTACGTGATCCCATAAATACACGCCCGCGTCGATTACTCTCGTCGCACACTTGTTACAGTATTACGTGAACTTCATTATTCCGCGTTCGTTGTAATTCAGCGGATACGAGGGTGGAATCTGTGCGCATGAGATCGGTGCGAGAAAGCAGTTCTCGTTGTTGTAGGCGTCGCGCGTCTCTCTTTCTCTCTCTCTCGGCGACGAAATTGCAACCTGACGTCCTGGAAGATATATTTCACGCCTTGTTGCGAGTAAGTGGCTTCTTCCACGCAGGATTAATGCCGTAAGGCGGGCTACGTTATGCATAGCGCATAATACTCGCTCTGCTAATTTATTTTTCACAAAATATTACTAGAGACGCGCGCGCATAAAGTAGAACATATTATTATTAAGAGAAAACAAACATGTACAAGAGGGATGTTGCAAATAAGTTGTATAAAAACATTTCTAATTATTAGATGTTTTTAAATGCTTTTGACGTTGTTTAAATTTTGCTTTCCGTGCGTATATTATGCGTAAAATACAAAAAAAAAAAAACCTTTCATTAATTATAGCAAATACTACGCAACCGTAGCCAAAATACAGTATAAAAAGTGTTTCAACGATGTCTGAAAGAGATATTTTTTAAACTTTTTACGATATTTGGATATTTATGGGTATTTATTTATTTGCTTGAAGGTGTACTTAATAAACAACACGATCGCGTTGGAGGGATGTAAAAAAGTGATGACGCTCATAAATCTGTTACTTTCTTCGGCTTATATAAAGATTCGAAAGATATACATCTAAAAATTTAAAGTACTTGATCTATATCACGTAGCACTTTTTTTATTTAAATACTTGTGTTAATTACCGATCTATGAATATTAATTAACTAATATTAATTAACTAACTAAATATAATATTAATATTAATTAACTATAATATTAATATTAATATTAATTAACTAACTATAATATTAATTAACTAACTAAAATTTGTTTTGGAATAAGGAACTATTTTTGGAAAACACAATTAATTTTACAAAAAAGTCTTAACATGAGCGTTTCGGGAAAAATATAAGCGGATATTAACGAATATATTGGCTGTTTGATCTGTTTTAGTTTAAAAGCTATATTGGTTTAAGTTTTTTAAACCATTATACGGTCACGGAGAGTTGCTAATTAATCTACATTCTACACTCGACCGAGTTACGATTTTCAGATACTCAGCAGCGATCATGTTATAACTTTCTGGCCCGCTTTCGACAATGCAAAAAGCGGAAATTACTTTCCTGTATTAAATGCATATGCTCCGATGAGAGCGAGAAAGAGAAAATTTACATCCTGAGAATCTTAGCACATCGAGGACGGAAAGAATTCGCAAGCGAGTGAAAAGCGAGCCTCGTAAGATTATTGTTAGACGCTAGTCAGATGTGGATTATCTACCTGGTGTACAAGTTCATATATATGATTAGACAATTAAATTAATTTATTTATTTAAAAAATCTTAATTATATTTTATGAACTAATATCGATGTTGGTGGTTTTGAAATATCTTGAATAAATGCAGACGTAAATCTAAAAAGAGACTTGAGCAACTTAGAGGAATATATGTATATATTTATAAAAGTCGGCAATATAATAATAGATTTGCGAATCAGACAGAGCAATTTGCTTTATTTGTGGAAACCAACTGTATGCAAATTATATTTGATCAATCATGATGATCAATCGGATCGGTAGTATTTAATTATCTTATCAATATTCATGCGTTATCAGTCTCAATCGCGTATCGTCGTATAATTTCGCTTCCACAAATAAATTGTTTGCAATTTTGCTCTGTCAAAATTGATACGCAAATCTGTTTAATTTTATATGTTAATTGTATAATTTATTCTTTACCTTATATCATCTTCCTTCGAGATTATCTCTTGTCGAGGATCTCAAGACATTTTGATCCGACCAAAATAATCCGTCATTAATTGTTACTACGATAGTATTACGTGGTGCTTTTCTTCCCACGTGTCAAATACGAGAATGAGAAAGAATCCCCACTAATTATCGTTTATGATTCCCGTGGCAAATTATATTCATTGTTACGCATACGCTGTCGAGATTGTGCAAATATATTTTCTCAAACACGCGAGATTGTTGGTTAAACAAAGGCTCGCGCGGTCTATTGTTTGCGATTGCACGGTTTTACGGCTTGATTTCGCGCATACTCTTCGACGTGTCGCGGTACTCGGGGTCGCTTGTTATTTTTTTCTGCCTCAATGAATATTCGAATATCCGCGCGCGAGAGGGTTTGTTTCTCGCCGCAAAAGTAGGATACGCCAGGGAGGGTCGGGGTGGAATAACCCGTTGGTTGCGAGCTATTCCGTCGACAGGGCGTCTAGACGCCGCGGCGCCCGTTTTCAAGCATCAAATGCTTGCGGAAGTGCGGTCGATGCTTCGAGCTTTCTTGCCCCGAGCTTTTGCCGCAGAAATTTTGCCCGCGTCGCATCGTTCGTCGATTTGCGTTGCTCTACTGGCTGCAATTTCTCAGACGGAAAACAGTTTCGCTACGGAGACTGTGGAAAATTCGACCGGAGAAAAAATAACACGGAAAACGTGATGGAGATAAAGATATGTCTTTTAATTAAAAGAATATGTTACTTTGTTAATTATCTGGATTCACGTCTACCTTCCATGTAATGGGATTACTTGTATTAATTTGAAAGTACATTTTTTTTTAATATTAAAATTCTGATGAAATATTACTGATATCTTATTTAAGCGCGATAATGAGGGAAAACGTCGTCGCGTTAGCGCGATATCAATTCATTACTGGGACGCCCCTTACGTATGTGCTAAAGAACGACCAGGCAACCGTGATAACGCGTCTCGTTTTCTTCACATTTCAAGATTTTTTGCCATTATCTTTTATCTTGCAGAATTTCATTTTGCCCGATTAAATCGACAAAAAAACCGTCGTGCGAGTCGCTCCGTACGTGACACTCACGGAGCAAGGAGAGGACGGACAATTTTTTTATTTTTTTTTTTTAATCAGACGATGGTTCTCGCGACAGTGTGCGCTAAGGGCGCCCATTTACGGATCGATTTTAATCTCTGTAAGAGACTCGAGGGAAACGCGCTTATATTCAGATTGGAATTGTTACGTCGCGTCGTGCGCGCGCGTTACACGTGCTGCAGTTGAAATGCATTTAATGGGCGACGGCGCTGCGCTTGAAGGCAGGCCGGTTATAACCCAAGTCAAATGTTTTATACCACCATCACCTTCTCGGCGTGCGTGCGCGCGATCGATCAGATCCGGTTTATGACAGTCGGATCGCCACGGATAATAAGTCCAAGTATCCGAGAGCAGCTCATAAGTCGCGCGTTATAAAGCATTTCGAGCATAAAAGTTTCCGCGTGCGACGTTATATAAACCCGAATAAGATGACGTTATCTGAAATATGAATATGAATAAAATCGAGGAAAGAGAACTAGAGCATGAGAAGGAAGAATGAAAATAAAGAGAGCTTAATTATTCATATAGATATTATTATTGTATTACTGCTGATGTCTCTTTTCCCTCTTTCGTGAAAATTTTAACTATTATGAATAAAATTGGGGAAGAAGTGA